AAAGAAGGAATTCTTACCATTTGCAACAGCATGGATGGAACTGGAGAGCATTATGCTAGCTAAAAATAAGCCAGTCAGAGAAAGATAAATATCACATGATATCACTCAATTGTGGATTATAATGAACAACATAAACCAATGAACAAAAACAGATCCAGAGACAGAGAAGCATCAATAAGACCACCAAACCTCAGAGGGAAGGTAGGGAAGGGTGGGGGTAATGAGGAGAGATCAACTAAAGGACTTGTATGCATGCATATAAGCCTAACCAGTGGATACAGACAACAGGGGGGTGAGGGCATGAGTGTGGTGGGGTGGGGGGTCAGTGGGAGGATTAGGACACATATGTAATACCTTAATCAAGAAAAAAATAAAATGGTATGCCTAATATGTTTCCAAGTATGTAAAAAAACAGATATGCACAGAAAAAAGACTAAAATGTAATAAAGATTTAACCCTACTTGTCTTTGGAGGATGGAATTACAAATAATTTTCAAAAATTATTTTTGTTAAACCATTAGAAACTTTTCATAATGAGAGAGAATAACTTGTTAGTGAAATTATTTTGACAACTTTTCTTGTCTTTTTTGGCATCTGAGACTCAATTACCTTGATAAAAAACACAGAGCAGATCTACGGAGAAAAGTCAGTGTAATCACCGGGTTGCTGCTTTTCTTTTGTTTGATGCAAGCAGGGAGGTGGGCCAATCTTGCCTTGTTTCTCCCACCAGGTTCCAGTATTTCTGGAAGGTCCCTGGTTGACATCAAGGACAAATATCGAAGTATGGAGGTCTGACTATTTATCTGGGCTTAGCAGAGCTGGCTAGAGTCAGCTATAGGAGTGCCTGCATCTGCAAGGACCCATCCTGTGGGTTTGGGGAGACCCTGTGATTTCTGGAGAAGAGTTCAGGAGGGTGTGAAAAGGCCAAGTAGAGAAGACCTGTACAGCATAAAAGCTTAGAGGAGGATCAGGGCTCCAGGTAAAGAGAATCAGACTCTCAGAGGATTCAGGTCCCAGAGGGAGGTGTTACCAGGCAGAGTGATGACATAGAACATCTAGCTGGCAATTAAAATAATAAGCCAGGACTAAAGGAAGGCCCAATCAAGAATAGATAGACTCAGGTGGCTCCCCAGGTGAGATGACAAATGCAAGTTTCCCAAAAGTCCACTAGGTGGCAGATCCTTTCCTATACTAAGAATTAAGAGTCATAGTCTAAGGTTCTTCCTGATACTCAGATTCCTGGGCCCCTTTCCAGAGCTTCCAATTCAGGAGTCTGGAGTAGGGCTTGAAATTCTGCATTTCCAAGAAGCTCCAGGTACTGCTAGTGTCACTATTTGGTGAACTGTGAGCACCACCCAATGCATCATCTCATTCTGGAAACAGAGGAGGTCAGCAGGAGAAGGATGTGGTCCTCAAGGCCAGCTCTCAGTTAAAATCGGGACAAAAATTCTAGAAGGCATAGCATGGAGATAGAGGGTGGCTTGGGGAAGGGAATGGGTCACTTGCTTCTGGCTGGATATAGTGTCTGGTACTAAATCAGATTTGAATTGTGGTCTTTATAGCAGAATGAAAGGTCTTCAGAGATCTCATTCCAGTTAAATATGCTACCAATAAATTTCATTAGAATGACTGTAGCAGATAGGAGCACACATAAATGCAGAGTAAAAAGAAAGCAGAATTCAGACCAAAATGGAAAACAAAACATTAGATGCATTACAAAAATAAATCTAAAGAAAAACCCGAAGAACACTATGAAGCACAAATCAGCGATTCTCAAATTATTTTAAAAGAAATATCCTGTTTATTATGCCTCAATACATGGTTCTACAGCAAAAGAATTTACGTAGCTCTAGCCCCATATGACTGACAGGCAGGTTTGATAATACCCAATTGGTCTATACCCCGTTCAGTGAGGTGAAAGTATTGCTTATGCATCTGAATGTCAGTGGCAAATTGCTCTAAAGATTTTTAAAGATTATTCTCAATTTCTGCACTTGCATCAACAGAATGGGAAAAGTCATAGTCTGCAGAAGGATCATAGTCCACAAATCACAATTTACGGGGGCACTGGTTTGGGAGATGGACTTGTTACATAACATTAAGCAGTCAACTTGTTTTTTTGGCTTCTACACTACAGATCCTTAACTTTTTGTACCCTTGATGGCCATTTAGATCTTATCTGTACCATTGGGGGTCCCTGAAATGAGATTATTTAGATGTTCATTTAACCCCACTGCTATTTCTTCATGCTAGAACATCAAGGATAGTGTCCCACACATGTAGGCATTGAATAAACACTGGTGGGATGAATAAATGAAATTGCAGCCCAGATCTGAGATATCAAGCATGCTTGGGGGATAGAGATATCCAGGAAATAAACTTCCAGTATAGACGGACATCAAAATAGAACTCTCCTCACAGTGACTATGTAGAGGCAAGTGAACAGAGCAGATGGAGAACAACCAAGTTAAAAAAAAAAAAGAGTGACCAATCACATTGTTTCCTGGCCTCACTGGTAATAGGTATCCACTGTGAATGAGTGGAATTCAGTTAATATGGTTCTTGGGCCATGACAACATAGCCTTCCTGGTGGCATTTTCATACTGAACCAAGGCATTGGCTCACATCCATGCCAAGGTGAACCCTGGTTAGTTTGAAAACTACAGGAGTATTAACCTTAGTTGGTTTCCTTTTAATACTGGAATTTTGAAGGACTTTAACATTTACTTGTAATGTCTTATGAAAGAATTCTCCAACTTTCAGCAATAGAGAACTGAACGAATGCAAAATCAACCTCTAACCTCCTTGAATTGTCTTGTCCCACCCACACTCATCTGTCCTGCTTCCCATCCCTTGTCCTTACCAGGCACACAGTGTAGCCTGAGGAATTGATGTGATTTAATGATGCAGAACTAACAACAATGATTACAGTAATAATGATAGCTGCTATTTAGGGAGCACTAAATGGGAGGTATTAGACTAAATGCTTAAAAACATGATCTTATTTAATTTGATCAAGAATCACATAAATTTGCTCAAGAACAGAAATTTTGAAGGACTAGTATTTTAGCCCAAATATGTCAGATTCAAAATGTGGTCTTAACCACTGTATTATATGTGTACTTAGGGTCTTGGATCCAATAAAGATGCTTTCCTTTTGCTTTTAAGGTATATGAACAAATTGAAAAGTGTATGGTGTGGGGGACTGTAGAGATGCAAGGCCAATATATCTCATAAATGATGGAGCAGAGATTGTTCCTATGATTGAATGAATGAATGACTATAGCTATCAATTGTGAATAAATAAAAATTAGCCAGTGAGTTCCTTATATCAGGAGAATACTGCACTTTCTGTTGGCATTTCACTGTACACCAAGGACTGACACAGCTTTGATGCCAGCTCATAAAATTCAAAGACACAATCTGGTTACAAATTCTAAGGCTAAATCTCAATTATATTTCAAACAAATGTGTACATACACACAGACACACCTGTCCTATAGCCTGACTTCTTCGAAAAAATGTATTTTGCTCTTTTTTCTAAATATCTCTTTCAATTTCTCAAATATCCTAAATAATACAGATAAGGGACAAACACAAATCTTTACAAAGAGAACATGGATAGTTTGGGCTATTCTCCAATCTTATACCACGATTTTATTGTTATTTTTAGATATTCCTATTTTCATCTGAAAATGTGTACACTCAACTACCTAGGTCAACTGGCAGTGCCAAGGAGAGATCAAAGTGTTTCCAGCAAAACTAAAGAACAATCATTTTTCATTTAGAGGTGTAAATATATGTGTTTCTGTCCCAGCTACAAGAGTATGCAAAAGTTCTTCATGGCTCATACAGAAGAGTCTTCATAAACTTTCATTAACATATCTTGTATGTGATTGCCAAATATTTTTTAAAATATATTTTATTGATTTTTTACAGAGAGGAAGATAGAGGGACAGTTAGAAACATCGATGAGAGAGAGACATCGATCAGCCACCTCCTGCACACCTCCTACCGGGGATGTGCCTGCAACCAAGGCACATGCCCCTGACTGGAATCGAACCTGGGACCCTTCAGTCTGCAGGCTGATGCTCTATCCACTGAGCCAAACCGGTTTTGGCATGATTTTCAAATATTTAAAGACCCAATTAAGAATTTTATCATGAATCAAAATCCTTAAATAAAAAATAAAAAATAAAAAGCTTTTTTTTTTTTTTTAAAGTGCTAAATTGAGAAAGAATGGGAAATTATATGAACTTGGACATTTAAAGACACAAATTGCTTTCTTGGACATTTAAAGACTAAATTAAGAAGCAAAGGGAGCCCTAAGACAATAAAGCGATCAGCACAAAGACATCTGTCAGGATAGAGGCAACCTGAGGTAAAGACCAGTTAAGTCGAATGCAATCAGGAACGTAGGCCAGTTTAACATATTTCTTACGAGGTGACCAACTCCTAAAACCATAATCTGGCCTTTCAGGATGATGACACAAGGATTTAATGAGTTAAAAAAACACACACCAAACACCCACAACTTAAAACCTCTCTTTAGAACATGAATTGTCTATTTAGTTTAAAGGTAGCCTCGGAGATCCCATTAGCTGCTGGCACAATTGGGAAAGAATCATACACACGCACATACACATGCACACACATTTCAAAGCAAGTGCTTCTATAATGATAGCAACGTCTGTTTTTACTCAGATTTGAAAACAGAATGAGAGCCAAAACTAACAACCTTTCTGCTAATTAGAGAAACGCAAGTGCCCCAACCCAACACAAAACTGGAATTAACTGCTTTCCTTTGGAACCCACTTATTTATTTATGTTTAAAAGAAGATTGGGGATAAAGAAACTTCATAACAGAATCGTTGGGGAAAACACATGGGCACTGAACGGTGGAATACAGGAAGACTAACCACACAGCTACAATGAGGAATTTTTTTTTTTTTTCCGGCCTTGTTGAAACACTTCATGTGGTCTAGTAAAAATCTGCTTACCTTTACATTTCTTCTCTTCCGTTTGAAAGGTCTGGGCACTTGGGACACCCTGATCATTCACATCGTCATGGTCCAGGTGGAATATGGAGCTAGCCCAAGTGCTCTGGATGAGATGTGGCGATGTCTGTTCATTTTTCAAGGTGCTGTGCCTCTCCGAATGGCTCTTCCTATGGAGGCAGGCTTCAGACATTCCTACTAGCTTCCAGTCGTGGTCGTGGTCTGGACAGTGCTTTGGTTTGTCCCAGGCTGGAAGGCCATTTTCTGGAGGGTTGAAAAATACATGATGATGAGCTGTTGGCATTGTCAAGGTTTGGTTGAGATGCACTTCTGGAAGGCAACTTGTTTCTCAATTCTTTTGGGCTGACGGTGTTCACATGCATCTCCGTTTGACGGCAGTGATAAGACGCAGAATTTGTCAGCCTTGGGCATAGGGCCACCATGGTTGAATTGCCAGTCAGACTAATCAACCCATTCCCCCTTTATGTTTAGTTCTTCCCTGGGTAAGCTGTACTTTCGCCAGTCTCACTTCCACGGCAGTGTCCCAAGAGCAAGTTCACACCAATTTATGTCACTGCTTAGGTGACCATTTGAGGTTAGGAGGGTCAGGGCTGGTCATGAAGACTTTTCAGATCCTTAGGACATAAAATACCCAGGATTCAGCCTTGTTTGACTTGGGCTTTTCTCAGGCTGACCTGAGGGGCACCCTGTTACTTAAGTGGGACATGTTCACGTGGCTACCTTGAGTGACAACTATGTTCTCCTTCTACTTCTAATGGCCTAAAAGAAGGAGGCTAGATCTTGTAAATGGTTTCACTGTAGTCTCAAATTGGCGATGAGATCAGATGAAGGACAGCAGGTGGTACTTTAGTTTGGGGCGAATTAAGAGCCCCAATGATAGACTGATAAACCCTAAATCTCTTTGGTTGAGGTATAGGCAATTAATTATTGATGTATATTATGTTATTGGTTTTTTTTTTTTCTATTCAGATATGGACTGGAAGTTCAGCCCTCTAAAATATGGGGGGAAATTATATAATGAAGACTTTTTCACATTAACCTTCCCTAGTGAATTTTACCCCCTTAATAAAGATACATGGGAAACATGGATATAAAGTAGAAAGTAAAAACGAGCAAGCTAATACACATATTTGTATAGGCATACACATTAAAAAATATAATCCATCTAGTCATCCATATTTCCAAAAATTCTTGGAAATTTTAAGAATTTCTCTAGAAAAATGAAATGTTGGAGGTTTAAACCCTCTCTAAAGCTACTAGATGTCTTCAGTTGATGCTGGTCAGGATGGTTTTTTTAAAAGCATAATCTACTCTCAATCACTTTTGGAAGTTACATTTATCTTCCAAGGTCTTCAGATTACTGTGTGAAAATCCTGGTACCCACACACTCCATTTCTATTCCAGGACAAGGCTCTGAACAACCACAACAATGAAGTCATACACATGATTTCTTTGTCACAGTAAATGGAAATGCTGTAACTCGAAATATCCTACCTTGGCTAGTAAGCAATAATTACTTAAAAAAAGTCATACAATATGATAGCTTTTGGATGCAACATTTGCTCTTATTCAGAGAAGAGCCCTGAAAATGCACTCTACAGAGAGCTGCTAGGCATTGTAGAGGTCAGTGAAACAAACATGGGTCCTTTCTCCTTAGAGTTTATATGGCATTCTTCAATGCATGGTCTGGACTCAACCATGCCAGCCACTGGTACAATTACAGGCACTTATGCTCAAGATCCATTAAAAGAAAACAGATTGAAATCTTGAGGGATTGTATTACATTTCAGACTCAACATATCTATGTAGAATCCATTCAAATACCTATTATCCATGAGGATTTTAGGTTTTCATGAGCTAAGTGATACAGTTTCATGATACAGTTACTGAATGCAAGAGTTAATTCTGGGCCCAAAGAGATTAATTTTGTTTCTACAGACATGAAAAAAGCCTTTTCACCCATGCATGTTTCTGCGATATCTACTTGATTTTCTGGGACTCTCTATGTTCTGAGTAAATTGCATCTGGTTTAAGCAATGTTAAAAGTCATCATGCTATTTTGTAAAACAAACACTTCATTTTTTTCTACAGAAATTCTTAAAAGTTGGTATTAATATATCTGCCTTAACAGATATTAAGAAATACAGCCTAACTGGGTCGTCACTGCTCCCTAGTGAGCAGAGCTAGTGAACAGACTTGGCTGAGAGATGCTGAAAGGGACTCCACTCAAGGGGACAATTCCTCCTTAGAGTATATACAGTCTTTCCCCTGGGCCAGCAAGAGTGGGGTTTTTTTTTTTTTTCCTAAGCAACGGAGGCTGTAATAGGGAGAAGTTGGGGATAGGATTGCCTTCCATTTTCCTAAGAAAGGAGGCTGAGATTGTTTGGGAAAAGGGTTTTATTCGTGGGAGGCATTTATGGGCTTATAATTACTGTCTGTAATTACATTCATGATAATGATATTTAGTTGCTTAATTGGCAGGTTTATTGGTTGGGGACACTGCTGGGAAACCTAGGACTGAAAAGTACTGATTGGGTCCTGGGAAAACTGTGCAGATTTATTTTTGATTTTCATCCTCCCCAAAATAGGAGTGTGTGTGTGTGTGTGTGTGTGTGTGTGTGTGGTTATACAATTCCTATATATTCCCAAGGAGGGAGAAGGCACCTATTACACCAGACTCCTTAAATCCTGCCTATTGGGTATGCTGTCATTGGGTCAAATATAAGTTACCTCCACATACTGGTAATAATGGTTTCCAGGAATTTTCTGTTATTTCTATGTCCAATGGTTATATTCTCTGGTTCCACAAAAACTTAAACCAATGAGATATATTTTTAGAGAGATTAAATTATCAAAGGTTAAGTTAGTGATTCTCAAACTCTGGTGAGAATCAGAATCATCCGTGGTGCTAGGAAAGACCACAGAGAACAGGCTTGTTGAAGTAGGATGGGGCCCGGTCATTAGTATATTTACTAAGTCCTCTAAAGATTCTGATACAATAAAGTTTGAGATCCATGTGGGTAAGAAAATCTAAGGTATGCTGACAAATTATTGGCAAGTTCTGGATAAGGTTGCAATGTCCCTCTCAGACTCCAATTTTTTTTTTTAAAGCCTGTTGTTGGACTTTGCTATTTTTATTATTTTTTTAAAACTCTGTTTTATTTTATTTTTAAAAAATATATTTTATTGATTTTTTACAGAGAGGAAGGGAGACAGATAGAGAGCCAGAAACATCAATGAGAGAGAAACATCGACCAGCTGCCTCCTGCATACCCCCCGACTGGGGATGTGCCCGCAACCAATGTACATGCCCCTGGCCGGAATCGAACCTGGGACCTTTCAGTCCGCAGACTGACGCTCTACTGCTGAGCCAAACTGGTTTCAGCAGACTCTAATGTTTTACCATCTTGGAATAAATGTGTTATAATGAAAAATTCATCAATTGTTTAGAGATCGTGTGAAGCATTAAGAGTCAGATGTTAATTGCATATTATCTTATAGAGTACAGGGATAGATTTAACCAAATTTCACTAAAAAATCCTGTTGTTTTGAGCATTAGAGACACAATGTACACAGTAATAGAAATACATTTTTTTTTTCACAAAGGGAGTTTCTAGAAATGAAGATATTTTGCTACTCAGATGAAGTATAAATCCTTTGCTTCTTAATGGATCCAGCTAACACCTGTCTTTTAGTACTTCATAGTACTAGATACCAAGACACTTAACCTGTCATGATGCAAATTAATAAATAAGTAAAATCAAAGAAAATAACAAGGTGGGGACACGTGAACTATTATAGAAATAACTTCTACATATTGGCCCCTGTGTCTCGGGGAGTTTTGATGGGAATGACGGCATTTGCATATTCTAGTGGCTTTGAATGACACAGTACTGCTCCAAAGTGTTCGTTTGTGAAGGAGACAAAAGCATAAATCTCATTAACATAACTACCTACAGCCTATCTCTGGAAATTTCATTAACGGTGATAGAAAATAAATCTGTCCATCAAAAAAGGGAGGATTATATGAACATATTCAAGTATTTCAGGACACCAAAGCAAGCTGTCACCTTAGAAAAGCGCCAAGGCAGAGGAAGTAGGATTAAAGCAAAGGGGTCAGAAAGGGTCAGCTGAGTGGGCAGGGATTTCAAGGCACTCATTCTAAGAGTGTTTACTTTGCATGAAAAGGCCATCAATATTAGGAGAATGTGTATATAAAATGCTTTGCAAATTCATGCATACAGGGAGTAGGTAGAATTAAAACACTGTGTAGGATCAGGCTATTAAGTATGATGTCTCTAATTTCCACTTCAATTTTTTTTTTTTACTTCAATCCATATGTCTAATGGTTAGCCTTGTTGAATTCTCAGACTATGTACATAGCACCCTACTTTTATCCATGGGGTCATGTAAAACAGGAGATGAATATTTGGGTGAGCATTTACTATGGATCAGGTGGTAAGCTAGAAACTTATTCATCTGCATGAACACCCCAGGATGTACATAATGGTATACTTCTAGATTGACAAGGAACCTAAAATTCAGAGAAGCTCTTTATCTGCTCTTTCATATTTTTCCTACTGGCTACCAGACTCGTCTCATTATTTGGCTTAACTTGATGAGTGGCCATTGGTCTATTAATAGCTATCATTTGATTAGTACTTTGAAAGTTCTTTGTTAAGTATGTTTATTGTCTTATTCAATTTTTCCCAATATACTCATTTATATTCACCACTGGTCTTTTAGCTTTCACTCTCAGCCACCACCAATCAATTGTCTGCACAACAGCCCAAATGAACTTTTAAAAATATACATTAGAGCATATTTCTCAGCTGCTTAAAATCTTCTAATGACTTCCAATCAATATTGGAATAAAGTCCTAAGGCCCAAGGACTTACCCTCCTTCCTGCTGAGCCTCTCTTGGAGGCTCTGCCCTTTGGCTACCTGGGCTTCTAACCTGTGAAGCTGATTCCACCACAGTGTCATTGCAGAAGCTCTTCCCTGAGCTTGGGGTACCCTTTCCCAGTCCTTATAGAACCTTATAATTTCCTTATTATTATTTTTTTTTGGTGACAGTGTCTACCCAGCACAACATCTTAATTAGTATTTATATCCCCTAATAATCTGGGAACTTTGCAAAGAGAAGACAACATCCTCAGCACAGACTCTATGCCTCTTCTTATCTTAAAGCTAATGGTAAGTAACAAGGACTCATCACTATTAAAAACAGTGCAATGCACATT